CCCATGGTCGATCCAACGGATAAGATTCCTTGTCTATTGCTACCGGCCACCACTTGACCACTCGTAGCACCAGGCTTCCACTCCACAATACGGTGATTCAACAAATGAACAAAAGATCGTTCGAAGGTAAGAATGGATACGAGCTCAGATAGGTTATCGTGTTGTCATGCTTTTTTTTCATTCATCTGTGAGAAATCTACATCCAAGTAGATAGAATTTTCTGAAAAAATTTCAATTAAGCCATGGTAGGAGTTTGATAGCTTTCCAGAAAATCGGAAAATATAAAAGTTCGTGAAAATTCACGTTTTGTCTTCGAATAGGATATAAATAAAAATAAAATAAAATTTTTCTCCGGACAGTACGGTCGGTGCTGTGGCGGAGCTTTTCTTAAGGGCCCCCCTCCCCGTTTTTTCACCAGCTTTTGGGGAACACTTCGGGGTATACGTCTCAACAAAGCTTTCAGTTCCCGGATTTGTAGATTTTGATAAAAAAAAATTTATATAAAGTCTTTTTCCGGTTTTCTGCCCTATTTTTAAAATTTCAATAAAAACTTCAGTTTTCGATATGAGGAGTTAATTCTGGCGTAGGTCGATAGACAACATTGACTTGTATAAGGAGAAAAACTTTACATCGTTCTCAAATAAAGTTTGACGGAGAAATTTAACTTTCACCTTCCCGAGGAAATTTTAGAGCTAAAAGCATTTTGAAAAAAGCCTTACGGCTAGTTTCGCTCAAAGCAAGCATTTTGAAACAAAAGTTGTTCAGAATCGAATTCAGCAGTCCCTCACGAGAGCTTTTTTTAAAATTTTCTGTTTTTGCTTTTTAAACTGAAAAATATGAAATTTTAAAATTTTAAAAGCTGTAAAATTTAATTTAAAAATCAAAAACAGAAAATTTAAAAAAGCTCTCGTGAGGGACTGCTGAATTCGATTCTGAACACCTTTTGTACCCAAAGTTTTGCTTCAAAATGCTTGCTTCGAGCGAAACTAGCCGTAAGGTGGGGTGAACAAATCTTCCCTGAGCCAAAAACCAGCGATATTTTCAAGTTTTGAATTTTTTTTTTGAAAAATTTCTTTAAAACGGATTTTAGTTGGTTTTGGTGCCTGTGAAAATAACCTTGTATAGGAAGAAGAGTTTTTTGAAAGCAAAGGAAAACACTTTGTTTTTGTGGTAATGAGAATCTTCATTTACTTCTGCTTCTATGGGTTTTCCTTCAAGAAGACTGAAATTAGCGAGTAAAAGAGAAGAAAGCTAAGAGTCGCTAGAAAAGTGTTTTGTAAAGCAGAAAGCCTTAGTCAAAAGTAGAAAAAGATTTAAGAAGGCAAAAAGCCTTTTTTAGGGGTTTAGTATAATGCAATGACACGCTACCGCTTTCAGGCTTAGTAGGCTACTAAACACTAAAAGGGTTTTTTACTAAACTTTTGAAGCGGTAACGTGTCATTGCATCTTGCTAAACTCAAAAGGGGTTTAGCAAACGACGCTTTTCGTTTACTGTGTATGCCTGGTATCTGGTATATAAATAAGAGAATATAAGAGTAGAATGCTGTACGAAAAGAAACGCGAGACGTGGCAAAAGGGATCCATAGGGAACCTTCTTGTTACGAGAGGTCCTGTACGGAACCCTTCTTTTGCAAAGGTTCGATATCGAACCATTTGAATGGCACTGAAACATTTGCGGCTAGAACCGTTTATCCGAAAGTAAAAAAAAGGTGTGAGACAGAACCCTTTTTTGGCTTGAACTTTAAAAGGTTCTATCCGGCATCGTTTTTTTTTAGAGAGTAGGTTTCATCGTTTTCTTACTTTTCTAAATTTTGATTCAAATCTCAAAGATCTCGACGTACAAACTATTTGAGTCATTACAGATGTAGAGCAGACATTTTTCTACAAAATGAGACGTCGGTAAGCTCTGTGTGATGTTTTTCTTATGATTTTACACGCACTTTACGACAAGCACTGTATTTGAGATCCGTCTCCTACTGGTTTTCTTCTCGATTTTGATCCGTGGACCAAATTCAATAATTCACATATGGTTGAATAGAGCATTACATCTGGTGGCATGCTTTTTTATCTTCATCAGCGCATATTAGTGGAGAAAAAAAATACTTAGTTTTGTGAAAATGGCTGGAAATGGGTATTATATATGGAAAGGACATTTTTCTCCTACTTTTCACAAGTGAACCTTTTCTAGTTTTGCGTTTAAAAACTGCACATGACTCAATGCTAGCTACTCATGACAAAACTTGATATAAATTATTGTCTCCTAACCGTTCAAAATAGATCTTTTTAAAAATAAAGTTAGACAAGCCCGTGAAGGGTACCCTGAATGGATTTATATATGATTTTTAGACGGTAAGGAGAAAAGGAATTTATAGCAACTTTTGGCATGAGTAGCTAGCTACTAGCTAGCATTGAGTCATGTGCAGTTTTTAAACTCAAAACTAAAAAGCTTCATTAGTGAAAAGTAGGAGGAAACTATTACAAATCAACCCGTTTGTTTGATGGCCAGACAAACAGACAGTTGTCTCTATGTGATTATTTATAAAAGGGATTAAGCCAACAAGATTAATTATCATGTCAAAATTAGTTCAAATCAGAAAAAATGAAGCGCAAATTTGAAAAAGCAAAGTGATCTGTAAAGTGGTTTTCTTTATTTTCGAAGTGAAAAAGTACAAGGTCGCTTTGCTTCCATCAATCATTAGAAAAACTGTCTAGCATTATGATAACGCTGAAAATCTGTGGTTTGAAGCGGGAAAAATGTGACTGCAAAAGTTGACGGCAAAAAGGTTGAAAGTAACGTTCTCTCCTGATGTCACGGTAAAGCCATTTCATTCAACGTTAAAGAAATTGAAGCCAACGGTAAAAGTGACATCTCAAAAAAAGAAAACATTTTTAGTGTGACTTTGCCATAAATTTTGTGACCTTTTTTTAAAGTGCGTTTACCATTAGAAACGGTACTGTTATGTGGTGAAAAGTACCGTAATAGACTAAACTACGCTGCAATGAAAATGAATATTATTAGATTCACATAGAAGCTATGGACTCATTTTCCAGAAGTAGCTTATCATGACTGCTCAAATAATGCATGTGGCTTGAAGTACAGACAAAATTCATGTCTTCGCCCGTCAAGCAGCGTGCCCGTATATATAGATACCCCAATTAGGTCTGTGACTCGATTCTTGCATGCCTGTATAATGCATGAAATACTGTGAATCAAGCATGTCCGAGGTGTAAAACTAGACTGGACTTTGGGACAGAGCCTGTTCTGTCACTTCAAAAGCAAACAATATCCATCAATCAAATTCTGTGACCGCACCTCTGTTTTGCTCTCACTCAAATCGAGCTTGTTGAATGAATGCTGAGTCCAAAGTACGTCCAATGTATTACTTTAATGAAGTAATCTATTCAGTTATCAAATTCGATAAAACTCAATTTCTTTTCACACTTTAATCCTGAGTTCCAACCAACCAAATAAAAGGATAAGCTATTTCTGTATTGTACACCAGCAAGAAAAGTGGATGAATTTTTATTGTTTATGAGTATCACTCATCACCTACTCTAGTAGAATAACACTTTTGATCTGCTAAAGTATTGCGTGATGAGTGATAAATAAAAAGGAAATCCATCCACTTTCCTTGGTGTACAATACAGAAAAATGAATGATACAGTCACTTATTTTTCCGATGTCATGGTATGAGGACTGACGACTAAGTGTCACTAGAATTATTATAGTGTCACTAAAACATATAGGATATTCAAAATTCGAACTGAAATTCATTGGATGAAAATTTTAGATTTAAATAAGCTTGAAATAACATTTCATTTCCCCATAATTCTTTGTTATGCTCAAGCGCAGCTACTGAGGTCTCCGATGAGGGCGCTTCACGATAGATCTCCAACACAATCTGTTAGTGGCGCCTTCATCGGAGATCTCAGTAGCTGCGCTTGAGCATAACAAAGAATTATGGGGAAATGAAATGTTATTTCAAGCTTATTTAAATCTAAAATTTTCATCCAATGAATTTCAGTTTGACTTTTGAATATCCTATATGTTTTAGTGACACTATAGCGGATGCACTTAGTCGTCAGTCCTCGTACCGTCAAGTTTTACAGTGCATATTCTAACCAATTAATCCGCTTAATACTGTTACCGATAATACTACACACTAGCGATATCTATCTATGAAAGCCTATTGATTAATGTCCAATGTTCGCACCTCAGTTTAGTGATATTATATAGTATGCGAATTTGGACAAGGGAGACTTAAAATCATGGAGACATTGACCTAAAATTGTGAGCTGCAATAAAAGGGAGTCGCGTCGTTCTATGTAAGGATCATTGTTGGCAGCTATATACTGATTGGCATTACACAAGTTTATGTTGACCTTAAGTAGACGACGACTAAAATCGTATTGGCTAAAGCTGTTTTGTTTGTTTATTTTACGGCCATATTGTAGTCTAGTGATTGTAGAGAAAGTTCGCTATTTGCGGTTGTACGGTTGTAAGCTTCCGTCTTAACAGACAGCTATATTCTGTGCAAGCAATGATCGTTGCATTAATAGTAATTGTGCGCATTTTCACGAAAACAAAAGACAAGACGAGAAAGGAGCGATTTGTGCATTGTGATAGTTGATTGTGTAGATCAGAGAAGGAAAAAACAAGAAGGAAATTTCGGAGTAGAAATCAACACTCAAGATAAGTTATAGTAAGAATGATGCCGACATTATGAATGTTCGTAGGTAGGTGTCGGCATCAGAAAAATTCAGACAAGACTATTGCTTGATAAATATCTATCTGTTCATATTTTAGATCTATATTTAAAGGTTGCTTGCCTAAATTTTTAGGTTAAGAATTACACAATGTAATTGAAGTCTCTATTCTGTTGAATAAATCACAAAGGTAACAATACAAATTAATATTTTACTCTGTTTCTTCTGTATCATTCTTAAGTCCATTCTCTTTATAGTTCTTTTTGTATTCGTGACACATATCAACCGAAGTCATGGTTCACTTCTCACGTGTACAATTATTTTTGAAAGCAAAACGTCTTAATATACCAGTATCAACATGGCTCAATCGGTTCGAATCGTCAACAACAGTTGCGGAAAAGGCGCATGAAGTAATCACACCAGTTAAAAAAATTATTGCTGGCGCACCCTACAAATCTTTGTCTATTGGAGTACGTATTCAACTGGAACAACTAAGCTATTAGTCAATCTAATTGTTGTTTTATTATTATTATTATTATTAGGTGCCGAAAGAAACGTATCCAAATGAAAAACGAGTCTCATTAACACCTACCGTTGTTGCTGCTTTGGTCAAGAAAGGTTTGTTCAATTTTAAGAATTATTAAATTTTTAAGTTTGAATTATAACGTTTAATACTGAACATATTTTAGGTTTTACGCTTCATGTTGAAGAAGACGCTGGAATTGGTGCAAAATTTCATAATGACGATTACGTGAATGCTGGTGCAAAAATTGTTGGACGAAATGTTGCTTATCAATCAAATATTTTACTTAAAGTTCGTCAACCAACAAACGAAGATGCTCAAATTTTACAAGAGAAATCCACATTAATTAGTTTCATTTATCCCGCACAAAACAAAGCTATTGTTGATGAATTAGCTAAACGACAAGCAACCATATTTGCAATGGACTGTATACCACGAATTAGTCGAGCTCAAGTATTTGATGCTCTCAGTTCAATGGCAAATATAGCCGGATACAAAGCAGTTATAGAAGCGGCAAATCATTTTGGAAGATTTTTTACCGGTCAAATTACAGCTGCAGGCAAAGTACCACCAGCCAAAATTCTGGTTATTGGAGGTGGAGTAGCGGGTCTCTCTGCAATGGGTAAGATGATCTTTTATATAAGAGATTATTTCCAAATTAATATAAAAGCTTTGTAATAATTGTTATAGGTACAGCACGAAATATGGGAGCGGTAGTTCGTGGCTTTGACACACGTACGAATTTTTACTAATAATATAGAAAATTATAGACAATCAATATCAGTTATTTTGTTCTAGGCGCATCGGTGAAAGAACAAATTCAATCGTTAGGTGCCGAATTTCTGGAACTCCATTTTAAGGTTTGCCTTGCACAATAGATTTTATATTGAAATTATTGAATTATTTTATTACGTTCTAGGAAGACGCAGAAGGTGGCGGTGGGTATGCTAAGGTGAGTAAACATGTTTTTTCTACTAAGTTATCTGTAAGATGATTTCCTCTATAAAAACTACAGTATATGAGAGCTAAGCAGAATGATTTACTCATTTAATAAATTCTTCATAAATGCAATGATTATTAAACATCTGTACTTTTACATTCTTTTTAGGAAATGTCTCCTGAGTTTATCGAAGCCGAAATGGCACTGTTTGCGAAACAAGCAAAAGAAGTGGACATTATTATCACAACAGCTCTAATACCCGGTACGAAAATCACTCCAAATTGTTTCAATTTTATATTGATAACATCATTTTTCTCTTTTTAGGCAAACCAGCTCCGAAACTTATTACAAAAGTATGTTTAAGCCGGTTTATCTCAGCCGTCAAATCATCAGAGTAACTTGTGACCGAGATATATTTCATTTTTTCTCAATAATCTACTAATACTTTCTCAAAATTAGTCCGTCTCTGATATATTATAGACATTTTAAGAAAGTCTTGAACATATTTTTTTATTCAGGAAATGATTGAAAGTATGCGTCCTGGCTCTGTTGTAGTTGATTTAGCAGCAGAAGCAGGAGGAAACATTGAAACAACAAGACCTGGTGAATTGTATACATATAACGATGTCGTTCATATTGGTTACACAGATCTGCCAAGTCGTTTACCAACCCAATCTAGTACATTGTATGCCAATAACATCTCTAAATTTTTACTATCAATTGGAAGTCAAGATCATTTTTATATCGATTTAAACGATGAAGTTGTTCGAGGATCATTGATACTTCGTGAAGTCTGTTAATTTGTACACAGTGAAAACCAACGTATGTCTATAAAGACGTTTTCTTTCAGGGTGAATTAATGTGGCCCCCTCCGAAAGTGATCGAAAACCCATTAGCAGCCAAAACACTGAAAAAAGAAGCAGAAAAGGCTACGAAAGAAGCAGAAAAGGCGGCTGCATTGGCTGCTATTCCTCCGAATTATTTTGCCAAGTAAATAATGATTATGTAAATTAATTAAATTTGTAGCAAATTCACTTTGATTTAGATATTTGAAAGATTCATTATTATACACAACTGGTCTAGCTGGACTTTTAGGTTTAGGCGTTATCTCTCCAAATCCACAATTTGCAAATATGTGCACAACATTTGCATTGAGCGGTATCGCTGGATACCATACAGTATGGGGGGTGCAACCTGCTTTACATAGTCCACTGATGTCAGGTAAAAAGAATGAAGAAACAGAAATATGTATTCTAGTACTCTATCGAATTATTCTCTTTGTTTAGTAACAAATGCGATAAGTGGCATCACTGCTGTTGGCGGTTTACTTTTGATGGGTGGTGGTTTTTATCCTCAAACAGTACCACAATATTTGGCGTGTACAGCTGCATTTATTTCAAGTATTAATATTGGTGGAGGATTTGTTATTACGTACGTTTAATTACCGTTTTTTTAATTATATATGGAATGTTTATTTTCTATTTAGACAACGCATGTTGAATATGTTCAAAAGACCAAGTATGTCGTTTTTTTACCTTATCCTAGTTAGTTTAGTTTAGTTTAGTTTAAACTTTATTTATTCAAGAAAGAGAAAGAATAGTCATTTTACACAGATGCCGCCTACCTCATTATACCAGAGGAAAATGACATGGTAAATGTTATAAGCTATTACAGATGAAAAGCACGAAAAATAAGAGGCAAAGATGGAAAAAGTATGTAAGGAAGAAGAGAAGAAGAATAAAATGATGCACGCTAAACCTTACGGTATTGTACAGACGTTAAGCAAAAGCATAAGAACAGTGTAGAGAGCATAACAAATTGAGATGATTAGTTTAATGTTTAAAACGTTTTGCAGCAATTATGTAATCGATCATCGATCTGACTACAAGTATATAGGAGTCCTTCTCCTTCTCAAGAGATACATTAAGAGAGAAAAGAGCCAAACTAAGAGGATTGTCGTCGTACTTTGTTATATAAATGATTTCTAGAGAAAGTATAACGGGGACAATGAAGTAAATAATGTTATCGTGTTTCTATTCCGCCGCATTGGCGACGATTAGTATCAGATAAATGCTTTAGATAGAGATCAGCATTTAACTGCGAAAATTCAGATCTCATCTGGTAGTAGATGATATTAGCTTTTGTTGGAATTTTGTAAATTCGATAAACAGTTGAATTAGTCTGCATGTGTGTTTTTAAAGATTTAACAAAAATAGCTAAAGTTTTGGATTCTTTTATGTTTTGTTGTAGACCATTTCATTTAGCGATAGTAGAAGGAAAGAACTTTTATCGAATATTTCTCTATGAGTCTGGATCGAAGGTATGTCCAGATTATTTCGATATAGTCACAATCGATCTTCCAGTAAGATAACTTTCGAACCAATTTAACAGATTTCCCGTAACTTCTTTTTTCTCTAACTTGTGTAAAAGTCCTTTGATCCACACATTGTCAAAAGCTTTACTAAAATCTAGAAAAATTGTCAGCGTATCCTTGCTGTCTTTAACGTCTTGGCCATTCTCAAGATCTTTATGTATCCTATGAACAAATTCTATTAGTTATGTGGCTGCTATGTTTTCTGCTAAAGCCAGATTGCATGGCGTTAAACAGGTTATTTTTAGTTAGATGATCATATAGAGTATTAAATATTACACGTTCTATAACCTTCGAAAGAATGGGCAATAATGTTTTAGATCGGTAGTTTTCCGGTAAATAGTGTCCTTTGCCTTTGTATAAGCTCATTACCGATCCAGTTTTAAAACTTGATCGAAAAACTCTTATTGTTGACACATGTCTCTTAGAACATCAGAAATGAATAAACTCAATTCATGCAACAACCGCGCTGTAAGAGTATCCGAAGAGACTTTAGAAATACTTAAATTATTTATAATGTTTTCAATCTCCATTGCGGAAAGGATAATATGGTCTAGTGTCTTTTTTGATGTCCTTAAAAATGCAGTGAAAGGTAGATTGTTATTTATTGGTGATATTATACAAACTGACGAAAAATGTTCATTCAGAAGCTCGGCTTTACCATAATTATCATTAACCCACTGCGATTGTCTATTTATCATTAGACTTGGTATACTAGACCTGACTCTCCGCCCCATAGATGATTTCAATAATTTCTGTTACTAACATCAATCTCATTTATTCGCTCAAAATATTTTACTTTCTTCTTCTCACATGCTTCAGAAAAATTACAGTTCTTTTACGAATCGTTTTTCATTTTTCAAGCCGATCCGCCGGAATACAATTATCTTTATATGATACCTGGTGCCGCTACTTTGGGAATGTACGCATGGGCAAACCAACAAGGCTATCATGATATCACTCACTTAGCCTATTTGGCGGCCAGTTTATGTTGTGTGGGTGCTCTTGGAGGATTGTCAAATCAATCAACAGCAAGATTAGGTAAAGAACAATATTGTTGCTCGCTTGTAACTCTTTAAAACATTTATTTGCTTTTAGGAAATAATCTGGCTATGATAGGAGTAGCAACAGGTTTGACAGCAACGCTAGGATCAATTGCATTAGACGTACCAATTCTAACACAAATCGGAGCGGCAATGACATTAGGAGGTGGACTTGGTTCAGTTATAGGTTTGTAAAAATAGTTTTAAAAAAAAAATTTTATCTTTTATTTTATAATTAATCATTTCAGCTCGCCGTATCGCTATAACAGATCTTCCTCAATTAGTTGCTGCATTTCATAGTCTTGTTGGTGCTGCAGGTTGGTTTTAAGTATAAACATTACCACTGACAAATTATCTCAAACATTTGTTTTTTATTATAGCTGTCCTTACGTGTCTATCACATTATCTGGCTGAGTGTGAGTCTTGTTTATCATTTTTGCTCATTTTTGCAGATTTATTTTATTTTCAGGTGAACATTTCGCCACGGATCCAGCTAGTTCCGTAATTAAAACAGCTTTATTTCTCGGAACCTATATCGGTGGAGTTACCTTCAGTGGATCACTTATTGCCTATGCAAAATTACAAGGTAAATAATTTTTAGTTGCGTAACTACTACTTTCATTATGATTAATTTACAATTTTGTTATAACATTTTTATCTCATTTTAGGCCTCATGTCTGGTTCACCAATTTTATTACCCGGACGTCATGCACTGAATAGCGCTTTAGTAGCTGCCAACATTGGAGCTCTTGCATATTATATGATGAGTACAGATACAATGGTCGGACTCAGTATGCTAGGAATTACAACCGCATTGTCAACGACTATGGGATTAACGTAGGTACAAAGCAGAATGATGCGAGCAAGTTTTCTGATATATTAATTGTTTCTTTTTAGATTAACTGTAGCCATTGGAGGTATGTAACGACATCCATTCCATTTCTATATTGTAATACTAAATAAAAAAATTCTCTCTTTTTTAGGTGCTGATATGGTATGTTAGAGAGAGAAGCGTTCAACTTCTAGAGGAGTATACATTTAATATATATTTTTTTCAGCCAGTAGTTATTACTGTTTTGAACAGTTATTCAGGATGGGCACTTTGTGCAGAAGGTAGGTATTTCCTCTCCTTTCCCCTGTATGATTTTCTTTGCTGATAATTTTTTCTTATTTCAGGATTTATGCTTAATAATTCATTGATGACGATTGTTGGAGCGTTAATAGGTAACACATTAAAAAATTTTAGTTTGGTCAATTCCTTCATTAACAGTCAATACTTTATTACCTTCTACAATATTACTTCATTTTTCTTGTTTAGGTTCAAGTGGTGCCATATTGTCTTATATTATGTGTAAAGTACGTAATAGTATATACGTCTGAATCGTGCATGAAATACATAATGATGTTCTTTTAAGGCAATGAATCGATCTTTACCCAATGTCATCCTAGGTGGCTATGGTACGGATTCTACTAAAGGAGGAAAACCAATAGCTATAACGGGAACACACACAGAGATAAATGTCGATCAAACTGTTGATTTAATTAAAGAAGCACAGAGTATTATTATAACTCCAGGTTAGTTTTACTTTTAGTTTCAAAATAATTTTATCATCTCTTTACTTTTCGTTTTAGGTTATGGTTTATGCGTGGCAAAAGCGCAAGTAAGTGTAATTTTGTCTTCCTAAAATACTTATTCTATTTATACCGATTAATTCAGTATCCTATCGCGGAAATGGTTGAAATGTTACGAAAACGAGGAAAAAACGTTCGATTTGGAATTCATCCTGTTGCTGGTGAGTTTTATTTATTATATGATCATGTTTGAGATGATATTAAAAAAAATCGTGTTTACTAATCATACTAACAAATAAATATCATATTTTGAATATTTTAGGAAGAATGCCAGGACAGTTGAATGTGTTGCTGGCTGAAGGTACAAAAATGACTGTTATTCTGTGATCACTTGACTTATATCTTGATCAATTTTAGCCGGTGTAAACTATGATATCGTACAAGAAATGGAAGAAATTAATCATGATTTTAGTAATACAGATCTTGTTCTTGTCATTGGTGCAAATGATACGGTCAATAGTGCAGCTGAAGAAGATCCAAATAGTATAATTGCTGGTATGCCAGTTCTACGAGTCTGGCTAGCTAATCAAGTAAGTAAATAGACTAGTTAGTTGAAGCATTTGATTTAATTTTCTTTCTGCTGTAAGGTCATCGTAATGAAACGTTCTCTTGGCGTTGGTTATGCTGGTATGTTTTTATCACTTTTTTTTGTGAAAAACAAAAAAACATTGTTTTTATTTATTTATTTTTTAGCTGTAGACAATCCGATATTCTTTAAACCCAACACATCAATGTTATTGGGCGATGCGAAAAAGACTTGCGATAAATTATTAGCAAAATTAAAATCTGAATATGAGGAATCAGGCACAACAGCTGGAAAATCTCATTAAACATTTTCTTTTAATTTATTCATTCTATTTTCTATTATACGGTTTTTTGTGCAGACTTTTTCATTTATATCTATGTAGCATAGAGATCAGATTTTTGTTTATTCACTCACACATAGATATGCTAGTCAAGTTTTTTGACTTGTATTATTTTCATAAATGGAAACATAGAATTATTTTCTTTTCTGCCATAGATTGTGAAAACAAACGGATGATTTCCTCGAATCTATTCCTACAGTTTGCAGTGATCACTTATTTTGGTGCTAGTCACACAGACACACACACAGATCCTAATAGTTCGAGTTATCTTTGTTTTGTGATTTTTTTTTTTCTTCAATACAACCATTCGAAGTTTTACATTCCTTGTTGTAGTATTTGAGTATTTTACACAGATTTTTTTATATGATTTATTTGCTTTTCTGGCGTGTTTTTTTATTCATAAAAAAATTTTTATGTAACATTTGATGAACCAAAAATAAAAATTAAAGTGTTAATACATTTAGACTGATATTTTTAAACAACAATGTGTGAGACAAATGAAAACACACCATGTAATAGAAATATGGATGGTAAAATTAATCTTATTGTAAATGAGAGCCAAATTAATACGATCGAAAAGTAAAGAAAAATGGTGGGTATAATGAACACATATCTATGTCTTATGCATTGTCTGATGACTAAATTTCATTTTTCATGAATAGCCATGTCTGTGGCATAATTCAATTTAAAACTCGAGTTTATATATTTCTTCTAAAATTAATTAATCAACTTTGTATAAATATCGTTCGGTTATATGAAACAACAAATAATTGAATAAGAATTAAATAGTAGTACGCCAACTTCCTATAAATAAAATTTAGTTTTTGTTGAAAGTGAATCTTATCCTGCATTTACTTAAATATGATTAATTAATTTAATATTATTTGTAGTTTCTCTTTACATAAATAACCATGATAATTAAAAATCACATTTGAAGTTGACTTTTTAATCAAAAAAAAAGTTCATTTTCTTGAATTGTTCTACATACCATGTGATATGTTAATTCAAATTCTATTTTGAATAAATTCTCACATCCATCACAATATATTCATATAATAATGGTGTAGTTTTTTTCACCAATCGTCATCTTAGTTTACATGTTTGAATTCATATTTACAATGTTTGGATAGCTCGATTTTGGATTCGTATTCAATCAAAATTTCTTACCTTTTGCATATAACTCAAGTATAAGCATGCCAATGGATGTTTCCATTCATTTTCGAGGAGCTCTAGCTCTCATACGTCGAGATGTGATACTACGGGTTCAGCAAAATACTAGACTTCTCTACTATTGCTATTTCTGATGTTTCTGAACGTTCCGTTTTGAAAACTCTTTTGGTAAAAACCAAAAAAAAAAACAGTCAGTGAAAGTGTTCTAACTGTAGTCAGTTTTACGAAAAGTAAGTGTATTTCAAAATTTTCTAATTATGCGTTTGAAATACAAATATATTTATTGGTGACAAAAGTATGCGACGTTCGGGCATGAATAATTGAAACAATTAGACGATTACAGTTATAAAGTGAGTGTTACTTCGTATGAATGCGTCATCCTCACAAAACTAGCTGTTGTTGAATTTAATATGTTTTTAAATATTAATAGTGATCAGCAACAACAACAACAACTGCGCTATACTTCAGCAAACATTCGTACCATACGAAATTAAGTCAAATATAAAATTTCCGTCATATAGAGATCGAATACGATAAGATCGCACAACAATCTCACTTATTGAGACTTGACACGTCTTATGGAGGTCACATCATGTGAAACAAAAATATGGGAACTAATGTAAAAATTAAATCAACAAATTTCGTTGATGAGGTAAATGAATCAATATCCAATTAAAGAAGTCCTCGACAATTACAAACACAACAGTAACTACCATTAACAGAAGATCTATAAATAAATAATTTGTAAATGCGTTTAGAAAATATAGAACAATTGAAAATAGATGCGAGATGAATAAATAAAATAACTATCACATTGTATTTTTCCATAGACGAACAAATTGATTTGATAGATAATATTTGGATGAATATATTAGCTTGACCCTATCATATTTTGCCCGATGTAAATGAATTAAAACTAGTTAAAGAATTATCACCAAATAAAATTGGTTGCTTTTTTAGATTAAACTATTGTGTTTCTCGTCTGGTATTTGCTCACTGTTCTCATTGTAATTTTTCTCATTATTTATATTGTAGCTTTTACATTTTAACTGTTTTTATCATTTTAAATAAAGAATATTTTTATATCAATAACACATTTTTCCCCCGCTTCTTTCATCTTCACTACTTTTCTATATTATTCACCTTACGATTGAAAATACACTCTGATTTTTGATCGCAATTGTATGTAAAACTCCAAATAGGAGAAGAAAATATTTTCGGAAACTTTTTAATATAAGACATTGTACAGTATTAAGCGATTTCAATATAAAGTGTAGTTGCCTCATCTCGCATACAAATCAGAAAATAGAAAAAAAAGAATTATTCTCAAAATTCATATTCAGAATGTAATTAAATGTAATTAAACAAGGGATTTTTGTTTTATTTTTTTAAAATGCAAAAACTCTTTCAATTATATATGCAAAAACTAATCAGTGTAATAATACTGTCGCAAAAGTACATGTTGATATTGGAATAAATCACAATAACAACAACAAAAAAAATGGGGATCATCGATAAAAGTTCCGAACTTTCTAGAGAATATATTTTTAAACATTTTCGATATTGTGGCACACAAGTCTACGGTTTGTTGCATATCCGCGGTATAAGTCTTCAAAGAACGAAGAGATGAAAAGTTTAAAAAAAAGTGAAGACTATGCGAAAATATAGAAAAAAAAATGTAACTAATGACGGAAAATATTAAATAATGTTGTTTTGTTTCTAACCGATAACTATAGTATTATCATCTTTAAATTTATACTCTGGTACTTCTAAATTTAATGGTGCTGGTCCTTTTCGTACACGACCAGATGCATCGTAATGGGAGCCGTGACAAGGACAGTAATAACCTCCAAAATCACCAGCATTAGCCACAGGAATACATCCTAAAATAAATAAACGATAAATACATAAATTGTACGTAAAATTCATTAAAAAAGAATATTATATATAAACACCATTAGAAGATACAAAAGAATACTAAACGAAAAATTCAAGTGTTGAAGATTTGGTGACTATTTACAGCTGTTCGAATTTCGCTATTTTTTCGCAGATTTCTCAAAAACCTATTAAAAAAAAGAACTTATACAAACCTAAATGTGTACAGATTCCAATGACAATTAGCCATTCAGGTTTTTTTACTCTATCCGCGTCTGCTTGCTGATCTCTTAATTGGCTAACATCAACACCTTGTTCACGCATAATCTCTTCTGGAGTACGATGACGAACAAACACTGGTTTTCCTCTCCATTCAAATACAACATTTTTGCCTTCAGGTACTCCATCTAACGGTATTTCAATTTTTGCCACAGCTAAAATATCTTTGGCCGGTCCAACATAATCGACTATCGTACGAATAGAATATTTTGCTACCATTGCCGATGTAATGGCAATACCTAAACAGTAATAAAAAATAAATGAGTTTAAATGAATTTTCCATCAAGAGAGTGATTGTACCCATCGGTGCAAGATAAGAAAACGGTGATGTAGCATCACCAGAGTCACGATAAGATTTATTCGGATCACGTCTGTCTTTCCTACGATAATAATCAAAATTTGGTATTTGAATATCTGTATGAGCATGACGAACACTTATGGGACCTAAAGAACAAAATATATATAACATATAGTTATTTGATGAGAAGAAAAAACCATTATTTACTTGATAAGCCAGTAGATATTGAAACATTTGAACGAAGAAGTTTTTTTTGCATTGAAACTGTTGTTAATGGTTGTCTGCATTTTGGTACTTGAATGTAAAGTGGTTGATCAGCCTCATGTTCTGGATCATCGTCAATATGCATTGGAATCGGCTTTGCCATAGATCGAAGTAAATTTGTTGTCACTTGTGTAACAATACGATTACGAAGTTGAAGAGCCATGTCTTTTCGTGTTAAATATATGAAGTGCGGCTCAATTTGTTCGCACTTGAAATTATATCACTGCAGTTATATGAAAGACCAAAAGAAATCATTTTTTTAACAAATCAAAGTTAGAAAACGAGAATTTAATTTATCCAGATAGATAATAACTTCCACAACTGGAAGATGATTTTATCATTACTCATAATAAGTCTTAGTGAATGATTCAAAACTCTTAAAACTTTTGCAAACTAAAGTGTTGAGTCTTAACTTCGTAGTGTCAATGAAAACAAGAATGATGTCCTGCTTACATACCAAGAAATTACCTAAATCTTTTCAGAGAAGAGATGATTTGTTTGTTCTTAATTGTATGATAAAACTAACACATCAAACAAAGATCATCATTTTTGGCTGTTATGCATCACAGAGCTATGAGATAAATTCTGTTTATTTAACATCGTATTTCTTGAACTTGGACAAACTAGATAAATTCTAGAAAGCCTAAATTTGCGGTCAGAAATGATCATTTATCAAGAACACGTAGTAAAACTAAGCAAATAAACAAGCAAATAAATATATATGAACAGTATATAAAAAATCTATTCTGTATACTGCAAAGTATGAGAGTTGACTCAGTTCACCAATCATAAGAATGCGAATAAAACGAACAAATAGAAAAAAAGTTTAGTAGTTGGTAGTAACTGCCATCGACAAAAATAAATGCAGACACTGTCAGTTTTTACATTCAAACAAAGAATGACTTACAGCAACACTTTATTCAAGAGAAATGCACTGTAAATACGCACGAGCTCAGCAAATGTATTTTTATATGTTTGGAAGTGGACAGGATATTAAAGTTTTATAGTTATCATAACATAATTAGAGTTTGGAACATCTACAATAACGTAAAATTATAGTGCGAAATAGTGGTGGTGG